ACCTTGTGAAGGGAAAGGACCTCTGATTTCACTGATATTAGGAATTCCTAGGTGAAGAAATCACCTCTACAAATTCACTTTCTCTATAATTTATGAATGAGGTTAAGCAATTTGTCCAGAGTCACACAGTCAGTACAAGTTAGAAGTGGGACTTAAAACTAGGTTCCTTAGCTTCAAGGCTGGCTCTCCAGCTTCTACGCAACAATCTCTCTAATATAGGAAAATCAATAAGAACTTCAGGAATAGTAATAACCAATAATTATTATTATTAATAATAATAATAACCAAGTATACCAATCTACTTGGATTTCTAAGGAAAGAAACTGTTCTAAGTTTTAGAAATCAACTTCCTACACACACACACACACACACACACACACACACACACACACACACACATTTTTGAGAGAGAGAGATAGTGTGTTCATTCTTGAAAATGATCCTAACAACAACCTGTAGGTTATGCGCTTTGAGCTACTTATCTAAGGAATGGTGATATAACAGCAATCAACCACTTGTCCAATCTTTCTTTTTGAACAACAAAATACATTTCTAAGACAGTGTAGTCTTTGAACATGAAATGTAACACTGAACAGTTGGCACAATGAATCCACAGACTAGCTACATTCTAGTAATTTCTTACAGAAAAGACCAAACCAAAAAAAAAAAAAATACTACCAGGCTTTACCACTAGGTGTCATTTTAATCCTTGTTAGGTTATGCTATATCAGTAAAGAGGAAAATTCAATTAAGTTGTGTTTACTTCACTTCATGAATATTAGAACAGGAATTCCCAATAGGCAGATAGTGAGGCTATTATCCCTAAGGTTGCCACCATGGAAATTTCTGGCTTGATATGCTAACTTGGGTCCAATGGAAGTAGAACAAACCTGGAAAATTCTGATATGCCCTCTCCTCTTCAATAAAATAGCAGTTTCCCCAGGAAAAAATGCTGATGTAATTAGGAGGTAGGTATAGATAAGACTGAAATGCCAGCAATTACTGGCCCACACTTTTTGAGCTTGCTGCAAGGATTATGTTAAGACCTGGCTGCTTTTTCCTTTTTCTCACTGAATGTAATCAACTTTAATACTTCAGATAAGCAGGAAAAAAATAGTTTTGCAACCCTGAATTTGAGAGTTTTGGTAATTAGGTGGTATAGAGGCTAGAGCCCTGAACCTAGAATGACAAAGACCTCAGTTGAAATCTAGCCTCTGACACTTACTAGTTTTGTGACCCTAGGCAAGTCATTTAACCTCTCAATCTCAGTGAGGACACAATGAGATAACATGTAAAGCACTCTGCAAACCTAAAAGCACTATATAAATGCTAGCTTATTGGGTTTTTTTAATAGGAAAATAATAGAATAAGCAAAGCTGCAATGCCATTTAGATACAAAGTGGTATCCATCTTCCAACTTTCTAAGACATGAACTTGGAGTTAGGATTTTTCCAGTATTTCACACCAAAACAAATAAGATGACGATTTTGTTTTCCTTACCACACTAATGAAGATTTTTGGAAATGGTATTTCAAGCACAATACTTAAAAAACAAACAAACAAAAAAACCCCAACTAACGAACTACAATCTAACCATGTCTCCTCCATCATTTACTTGTATCATTTTTATTTACCCAAATGTAATACTTCACATTTGTCCCTGGGTTTCATCTTATTAGCTTCAATCCAGTGCTTTAGCCTAGAAACATATTTTTTTGTATCCTGATTGTATTTTCCAGTGTTAGCTAACCCTTCCAGCTCTGCATTATTTGCAAGTTGGATGATCATGTTTTATGTGCCTTTAAGTGACTGAAAAAATGTTAAACAGCACACAGCCATCACAGGTCCCTGGAGTATTTTGATGAAGATCTTCTGTCATGATGATGTTTAGCCATGAGCAATGAATGGAATGTAGTGAAGACCTCCCATAAAACCTAAACTCATAAGATATAAGATGTTATATCTAACTGTGAAACAAATGGTTGTCCATGGGACAGAAACAAAGGAACTCAGGAATTTCACAGGGGTTTGTAGAATAAGGACACTGCAAGATAACCACATCTGCTTGTTTTATCGCGTCTAGAATGTACCCTCAAGGCCTGTAACTATGGGCTAAGAGGAAGGGGGTTAGGGAGGGGAGTTGCGATAGGGACCTATAAAAAACCTGCTGTACCTATGTTCGGTGTGCCCTGACAACGAGAGGTTTTTCAGCGCCGGTGGCCCTTTCCGTGAGATCATAATAAAAATTCCTTTCTGCCTTCTACCTGGAGAAGCCCCTGAATTTATTGGAAATAAGGATAGCTGTCCCACACAGCAACTATTCTGAGTCTAGACATTCAAACATTTTTTAATCCACTTAAATGTATTATCTAAACTACATCTACTAGTATCAGAATAGTTTGAGGTACTTTATCAAAATCTTCATTAAAATATATCTATAGTATTTTCTGTATCCAATAGTTTGGTAAACTGGTTAAAAACAGGAATAAGGCTAGCCTAGCATGACTTCTTTTTATATTATTTTTTATGACTGGTTCTTTCTATCTCACCTACTCTAAAAGTGCCAGAGCTACACTCTTAGGCCCAATTCTCCACACTGACTGGCCTAGAAGCTCTAACCTGCTCTGTTCATAACCTGAATTGATTTATCCCTCTTTAGGCAGCTCCTATATCACCCCCTCCCTCCATCCCATTCTATTCTTCCTCAGTGGAACTGTCTCTTTTTGTATCTTCATTTTATTCTTGAGCATCTCTCAAATATTCTGGTTTCCCACCTAAAATTTTAGTACATAGAAGTTTATCTATCTTTTCCACTGAAACCTTTTGAAAATTTGCTTTCCCAAAATCTACAGTGCATATCAAATTATATTTAGATTTCCTTTTCTCTATCACAAACTGTAAAACAGAGTAGTTACTTCCCTCCAGGTCTCCATTTCTATCACAGAAACTAATTCTTCCCCATAAGAAAGAATCAAATCCAGAATGCAATTTATCCTTATTGGTTTCTCTATCTTTTGAAGGATGAAATTTTCACTTACGCAAGTCAATAAGTTATTATCTGTTCTTCATTTTGAAGACAGATTTCAGATAGCTAGATCAAGACCAATTCACTTCTACTGGCTTAATAACAATAGGTGACGTTTATCTTGTGCTTTCAGGTTTACATAGCACTTTACATAGTCATTCAAGCCTGACAACAATGCTGTGAAATAAGTGCTACAGATATTATTACCAAACCCACTTTCCTGATAAGGTTCAGCAGGGTTATTTGATTTTGCCCAAGCACACACAGCTAAATGTTGGTTTAGGAGTTTTAACTCAAATCCTCCTGATATCAAATCCAATCTATCCATTATGGAATGATGCTTCTCTGTTTCATTTTCTTGTGGGTTTAGAAATAGATGACAGAAATGCCTTAATATGAACTAGTCTCTGTTGTTGATGTTTTGGTGCTCAGGCTTCAATGAAATTGGCAAAACTTAAATCTTGCTGGAGATTTTAGCAACACTTCGAGGCTTACTGTGTAAGCAACGTGATTTGCTGCTCTGGCATCTAGACACCAAAGTCCCTCTATTGGAAGATGGTGGTAAGAAGAAAATATGCTTAGTGAATGATGGCAAGGTGAAATCTCTACCAAAGAGAAATGCCTTCTGAGTATACTATTAAATTTTATTGTATAACATTTCAAAAACTTTTATATGATGACTACTGCTATAAAATGTTAGCAATTTATATTGCATATCATGTTGCTTCAAATATTATTAAAGTAATCAACCACTACAAGAAAAAAAATCCTATACAAATCACTATTGCTTCAGAAAATAAGAGCCACATTCAACTATTTACTTCTTAAATTTCTTTACTGCAATGTCTTTGGATGCACACACATTAAAATATACATGCACACAATTTAGTTTAAGAGAAGCCAAAAGAAAACCACGTTAAAAAATTCAACCTATCATTTAATTATTTAAAAAATAATTTTAATATAAAATCTCTTTTATGAAGCTCAAAGTATTTAATATACACTTTTATTTTCATACAAAACATGACCCCTAGTCCTACACACCTGCTTCTATGGTAGTAGAGGCACAATGGAGAAATGATGCGGGGCAGTGGGACATAAGTAGCAACTTAGAATCACAGGGTGTGAATCATCTACAGATGTTAATTTAACTGATAATACCCTAAATATGAAACCATTATGCAAAAAGTATTAAGTTCATACATTGTTGGAAAAAATGAATCATATAACATTCTTAAAGGTGCTTATAAAGTACTGACTCTCCCATGCATGTCATAGTAAGGAAAATGTAAAACTTTTTCTGCATCTTTAAATAGTCATAGATTCCTGGGATGTAACATGGCAGAGCGGTTTAGAGGGCCAACCTTAGAGCCAGGAAGCACTGCTAGCACATTCATTTTGGCAGTATGACCCTGGGCAAGTCATTAAACATCTCCAAAATTTAGTCAATTCTCTAGGTGTATAAATTGCAAAGGTGTTGAACTACAATAGTACAATGAATTAGTTCACTTTAATAGTGAAATCACAGATCCAGCCCCTACACCTAAAGTCATGGGGTCACAAAATACTAACAGATGCTAGGTACATCCATAATCAGATATTCCGACTCATTAATTTTATAAATGAGGAAACTGAGCTCCAGAGAGATAAACTGCTTGCTCATCCATTATCACAAAACTGATTTTTCAGACTACTGGAGAAAGGTCATTTTCAAGAAATGATTCCTTAATAAAAAAATGTTTTTCCTCAGCCTTCCAAAGCTTAAATTCATAAATCTTTGGCAGAAAAAAGTACCAGCTGATTTAAAACGTATAATTATGATTTTTAACAAAATGGTAATTGTTATTTTGGGGTAGTTAAAATATAAGAGCCTACATGCATATGTCTAAAACATTTCAGCTCACCTTGAAATAAGGAGACTGTACAAAAAAACCTGTCACAATGAAATTAAGTATTAAATCATAAGTAGCCTTACCATGTGGAGTAATTGTTTGTACAGGCTTAGTGGGAGACTTTACATTCCATATTGTCAAAGTGCCATCTGAATGACTACAAATGAATTGTTTTCCTTCATGGTGCCAGGCAACTGAGTGTATTGCCTATGTAGGGTAGTAAAGAAGAAAAAGTTCACTTAAAAAATCATTAAAAACTAAGACATTCCTATTTGTAAATAATTTATATTTTAGAGTTTTTAGGAAATCCTCAAATCAGTATGCTTACTGTAAGAAGCAACAAGATTATTTTTTAATATGTTAACTGTAAGAAAAATAAGATTTCATTTGAAATTAATGAATACTCAATTTTTGTCCTTTTTTTAAATTCTCCAATCAATATGATGAAAACATTATGCTAGTGATATATACACACATATATTAGTATATCAATATAATAATAATGATAGTTCATTTTCCTATAGTGCTTTAGGTTAACAAAGTACACTTAAAAGTATCAATAAACCCATTTTAAAATAGATAATAATTTCCATTAACATCTCTGAAAATAAGTACTTTCTGAGCAGCTTTACCAAAGTATTACTATGGCACAATGAAAGTCTAAAATCTACTGCACAATGTATTTTTGTTTGTTTGTTTCATAAAGAAAATAAGCTACTGCTTATACCACAAAATTGAATATATTTCATCAACTTTCTTCTTTTCTATATATACAACCAATCCTTGATTCCTATTAACAGAAAATAATATACCTACTCCAAATATAATTTCTATTGGACTCTAGGAAAGCATTATTTTCAAAAAAGCAAATTTAGCCTTTTTTCTTTGAGCTAATATTAAAAATTACTGATCATTCTTGAAAAATACTCAGTGGGAATGGTCCAGCAATGTTCAGGGCAATACAAGGATAGAAATGTGTCATTAAATATTTGAAGGAGTTAAATCCTGAATGAAGTACTTCATATACAGATCTTCAAGTGTTTATTAGTTATTTTCTTTGATTCCTTATCATTTTTCAAACCTACCAATCATCAAGCATTTATTAATACCTCTGAAGTGTCAGGCACTATGCTAGGTGCTGGAGATATAAAGACAAAAAATGAAATAATCCCTCCTCTCAAGGAGCTTTTTAATAGACTTTATTCTATTAATTTTTTTACACACAAATACATCACCTTTGTCCAGACTGTGCACTGAAAAACTGTATCAATATGTATAAGATGCAAATGCCATTTACCCTAACTGCTGCCAGGTTTAGAGTCAGAGTGCCAGATTACGATCAAAACAACCAACAGGAAAAAATATACTTAGGGAGTAGGAAAGCTGTAAATAGGAAAAGAGGTAGAAGGTAGAGAGGACAGCCCAAGTTGGGAACAAAGGAAGAATATACCAGGTCAGAAAAGTGAAGGATAGATAGAAGGCATAATATCTGAGAAAATAGAAAAAAGTGAGTCCTTAGAAGACTATAATACAAGAAAAGTAATAGAATATAGTGGTGTAGGGAAGAGGTCTGGATCTGAAGTCTGAAGAGCTGAGTTCAAGCCTCAAAACTAACTCAAGTCCAGGGCTCTTTTTATTTTCCAGTAAGATGAGGGCATAGGGGCAGAAGGCTAAGCTCTGAAGGACAAAGAAGGCAATGAGTCTCAGAAATGTAAATGAGAGCTAAACACCTGTGAGGAGAGAGGTAAATGACTAAAAGGTAATACAGCAAAAAAAAATTCAGGTAAATCAAAAACAAGAAATGACAGGAGAAGAAACAGAAGTGAGGTGCTCTTATGAGTAATTATCTATTTGATATAACTACTCCTATGGTAATAGGTATCACATCTATGGAAGTCCTAGTCATACGCTGCAAAAAACAACTTTGATGTGCAGAGGCCACCTAATTCTTCAAGTCTATTCTAGTGAAACAAAAATTCTAGAAGGTCCTAAACCATGTTTGGAATGCTTCCAGTATAAACTGGTGACAAATTATAAGTCTGTATCTAAGAATAAACCTAGCTAAGATTAGAGAAGCTCATCACCACCAAGCTGGCTGTAGGGTGATCAATTTTTTGGCCACAGCAATCCTCAAAAACAACAAACACATCAACAAACAAACATTTGTTAAGCCTCAAGTTAATTGGCGAATAGCTGAACTAACTGTGGTATGTGAATGCAATCAGATATTGTTATGCTGTTAAAAAATGATAAAAAGAGATTTCAGACTTCTGGATAGAATGAACTATTGCAGAATGAAGTGAGTAGAGCTCTAAGAATAATTTATAGAAGGACAACAATAGTAATGATGATACTAATAGCTAACATTTATATTGGAGAGTTGTAAGGAAGAATGGGCTTATGTTATAAACAGGACAAATATCTGCATTTCTGAAATCATGAACTTTCCTATAAATTAGGGGTCAGCCAATGATGGTTCACAGGCCAAATCTGTCCTGCCAACTGGCAACAGTTCAGTAAACAAATCTAACAGATCTATCATCACATTAAAATATAGAGTTCATCACATCTAGATGACTTGAACTTTAAAATGTAGCTAAGTGCTCTATCTCCTAAATTTCTGTACAGCCTATGACCTAAGAACATTTTTTACATTTTTAAATAAAGTTTTATTGTATTTAAAAAGATGGAAAATAAAACATTCTTAGCTCACTGATCCATATAAAAAGAGGCTGCACTGGATTTGGCCTTTGGCTCTCAGGCCATACTTTGTCAATTCCTACTACAGTCAGTGAACAAATAGAGTAAAAAAAAATAATAATTATACTGTACTGCCACTAATGCTTAAACATCAGGAGATTAATATCTCATGATTAAAGTTTTATGATATGTGATAATCTTATAATATGCAAGAAAGTACCTTGGAAATAAAATTTTAAAGAATTTAGTAGCTTTCATTTCACTGTTACTTTAGGACAGGCCTAGATCTCGCGTCTATGTTCTATATTAGTCAAATCTAAGTAGCTCAAAACATAATTAAAATATCAATTCTGTCAATATCTAAGAGCAAATTATTAGTTTGTCTTGCTGTTATCACTGAATTTTAAAGAGAAAAACTCAATTCAAATGAACTTAGACGATTTATTTTTAAAGTAAATCATTTGTTTTGGGCCTAGGCTCAGGTCATAGAAAAGCTGAAGTCTTAAATAAGGAAAAGTAAACTTTAAAGTGTTTATGGAAAGGATTGTACAAGCTTCACTTTTTAATATAAGGGATTTTTTTCAAGTTCTAAATTCACAAATGGGGGAAAAGTAATAAGAAAGCATCGTAAATAAAGTCATATCACAGAACCACAAATGGACTTCATAAGATTACATGAGTCCAGATCTTTATTTTTATATGGGTAAATGTTCATATTCATGTCAGCTTCTTGACCTTGCCTCAATTACTTGCCTATTCTTTTTCAGATGAAAGCTGGTGCTCCTTCTATTTCCTCATCATATATAAGGATGCATCTAACAGATACTAACTTGGTCCTATTAAACCCTTCACACAGTACTTCTCCAGTTCATGATCACTGTCAATAGTTCAGTAATCAAACCTGACATATCTAATATCACAAAAGGATATAGAGTTCATGCAGTCTAAAATAGCTAGATGTTCTTACTCTTTCCTAAATCTAGAAAGCAATTCCCCATTACCCATTTTGTTCTGAGCTTTCCATGCCCAGTACCCAGATGGTTCCACCAATTTATAGTGAATAGGGGCCATTTTATCATGGATATTTATCTATTTTATTTCTTTTAAAAATATTTATTGGCCAGATCTATACATAATAAAAATGAGTCTGGTAGCAAGGTAAAATATAAGTTAGGGGAGGAAATGGAAAGTAGGGAAAATATATTAGAAGGGAACTGAAATTATCAATAAGGGCCTATACTAGAATAGGGACAGTGAGAACAAAGGAGAGGAAAAAGATGTAAAAGAAAGAACACACATTTGAGAAAAAGAGGAGGAGTGAGAAAATGAAACAAAGGAAAGAAAGAGAACCAAAAAAGTACTATTTTCTCTTGTCTCTGAAGCCAAGGGAAGAAAAAGTATCTAATAATACAGAGAGATGAATGAGCACAAAGACTGAAAAGAGACCATCAGACTTGCTCATTAGTCATTGGTGACTTTTACAAGAACAATTTAAGCAGAAAGGCTGAAAATAAATCCAGATGGCAAGGAATGAAATGAGTTTAGGTGTGGCACCAGCTAGATACTTTTTCCAATAAGATTGGTAGTGACTAGTAAGAAAGAAATGGGTCAGTAGAGCTTGAGCAATCACATAAGAAGGGTTAAAGGAAGGTTTGCTTTGGTTTTTATTTTAAAGGATTAAGAAGACAATCTGTAAGTTAATTTGAAGGAGAGAGACTAACGATGCAAGACAGACAGTGGATAATAACTGAAGAAAGGTCTTACAGAAAACAGGAAGGAAAAAGATCAAATACATAGGTTACCAACCTTAATGAGACTAATGCTCACCTAAAATAGGAGGGAGGGAGGACAGAAAAGTTGATAACATTGAGATATTTTGAGATATGGAAGAGGGAAGTTGGATGAACTCTTATCAGAGGACAGTCTCAATCTTCTAAGTAAAGTAGGAAGTCAACTGAGCTACAATAAGTAGGAGATGGGGTGTGAGGCTGAAGGGGACTTCTGGATATGGAGAACAAATATTAAACAAACTTCAAGCAATGATTTTTCACATAGGGATATTAATTTTCCCCTTAGCATTATCAGTCATTAGGCAAAACACTACTAATAATTAATACTTTGAATAGGACCTATATTATACATATACATTATTTCATTCATTCGTAAGTTCCCTACCTTTTTGAATACACATACTGACAAAAGTAGACATGTAAGGCTATTTTAATTTTTTTAAACTATATTATATACACATATGCGTGTGCATATACACCATATGGCTACATGTAATTGTGTGTATATATGTACATATATTAACATGCAGCACTGTACACAAGTGAAAAGATCAATTCTAAAATTTGAGTGAGATTTTTCCAGTGCTTACATTAATATAATCCTTGGAAAATCCATTAATTTAAGTGGTCATCTAATATGTTATGGTTTAAATATATTTTGTGGCCTGAACATGATAATTTCATTTTTTTAAAAGGTGCTCAATATGTTTTACTATATTTCTAAAAAAATTATTCATAACTTTTCTTATTATATAACCTTATAGAACCCCTCAATTCTCAACTAGCAATCTTCCTTCTCTTATAATAAAAGATAAAAAGGAAAGAAAGGAAAAAAGCAGTTCAGCAAAAATGACCAATACACTAACTAAATCTGATAGTACATGAAAGGTTACACACATAATCTCCTATCTCTTCAAATAAGGGAAGGAAATGACGCTCAACTTTTAAACACAAATTAATTTAAATACTAGGGGAATCTTGCTCAGTACTTTTTAAACCAAGAAAAATAAAACATTAGCAAAATATTTAGATTTTTAATTAAAACGACTCACCTCATCATGTGTGTACCTATAATCTGCTTTCTTTGATTTGAGGTCCCATAATGCTACTGTTCCAGATTCGAAACCAATCAAAAGCTATAATAAAAGAAAACCATTACCAAAAGGAACACTATCATTTACATGTAACAGTTATCATCAGAAAGTAAAGGTTTTAGTTGGAACAAACATCTTAATTTTGTGTTTTCTCATTTGCTCTGAAGTAATAATTCTAAAATCATTGAACTATTTTATCTCTCATTATCATGCACATAGGTCAAGAAATGTGGGTGTTTCATTTATATAAATATTAGGTTCTTGAGAATTAGACACTTTAATTATACATTAACTATTCAGTTACTTTTTTTTCAAAGAACTAATCTAAAAATCACAAAAATGACCACAGAGTTGAATCCAAATACATTTTCAGTTCTCTAGAATAGTATTTTGTCATGAAATACTTACTGCTACTTCTTTTTAATCCCTACTACACTGAACGTCCATAATGTCTTTTTTCCCCCTAAAGCAGTGCAAAGTCTTTTAAGTGTTACCACGTTTAGTATAAATTAGCGGCAAGTATGTAATAGTTAAGACCAATTCTGTTATTTATCCAAGGTTCTACTAGAAAACACAGGAGAAAATTCTCAATCAAAAAGAGCAGAACCTGAGAAAGAAAATACTATTTTATCTTTCCCTTATAACTATACTACAACCAATGTAATACAAGATATTCTGAATACAACTCAAAATTAATCTAAAAAAATGTATTTCTTTAATTCTTTTTTTTTCCAGAACATGCTTTTAGAATTCAAAGGCGGCTTCTATAGAATCTTGGAATGGGGACAAAGTTCAGTGTGCACCAAAGCTCTAAGGAATTTGGAAAGGCTCTCCACTAGAAATAAAGTCAAAATTTGGGATGTGTGGCTAATATACGATAATCAAAATTTTTCATCTGAACCATCTAAAATTCCATAAACCTCCTGGTAAAATCTGCTTTCTCTTATATTCCCTTCCTTCACCTCCTCTAAATACCATGGTCATGTGATATCTACTGAGTTAACATTTCATTATAATGATAAGACAGGCCTCTATCACTAGATGTCAGGTTTAAGGATTAAAACAGCTCATAAATACTTTCTTAAAAAAGCACCTCAATAATGTATAAAAATAACAAACAAGATATTTTGAAAAATATGTCAAAGAGTACAAAGAAGTTTAATACTGCATTGGCTCATAATACTTTTCTACTGGAGACCTATACATTTGTGCATTCCCTATTCAAAGTTTCAAATATTCTCCATGCCTATTTCATCCTCATGTATTGCTTTTGGTTACTTTTTAAAATTCACTTCCCGAAGCATAAAACCACTATAAAAACTAAGGAAGGGGGATGTTGGGTGATGAGTTTCTGGATTAAACTAGATACATAATTTTTAAAAAAATTAATAAACACTCAAGGAAATATTTAAGTATTTACTTAATATTTGTAAAAATATTGTACTATATTGAGTAAAATATTAAATAACAGACATGATCCTTTTACTCAAGGTACTTAAAATTATGTTTTGAATGCTTTTGATGTACATTTACTGTGATACTGAAGCTTTCATTACTTTTAGGTATTATTGACCTAAAATCTTTCTTTTACTATGAGGAGAGAACAATATGAAATTGATTTACTCTAGGAAATAAAAATTTATCAGTACCTATAAGGAAAAATGCATTATTGATAATGAGAATACATAAAAATCAGTTTATAATGAGTTATGGAAACAGAAGATCTTGTAAATACACATATTTAACCCATTTTGTTTTAGTGGATGGTTTATAAATGCTGTGAAGAAACTAAGGTCTCTCTCTTTAAAAGAAAGCAGGTTATTCAGGGGGAACCTAAAGTCTAGGTGCGATTTTAAGTTTAAACTCCTTAACAGTAAAATTGCACTAAGATTTATTGGGACATCTTGCATTACTGGCCTCATACCACAGCCCATGGTGATTCAATTGCTGAATCTGGCAAAAGTCCATTTAATGAGCAATTTAGGAGTGAAGTTGAGACAGGAGTAGCAGAGGCTTGTAACTCCTGTCAGAGAAAGTAAAATCTACCTGGGAACATGAGAAGAAGTAGTATAAAAGAAAATTAACGTCTCTATTTTAAATATCAGCTGAACAGAAAATGACAATACAGACCAGAAACCAAAATTATCTAAGACAGCCTCTAAGTTGAGGGGAAAAGTAAAATATATATCTAAAGGAAATGAAAATTGCTTAAAAGGTACATTTAATTATATTTAGAGGAGCTTTATTTTAACCTTTGATCTTACAGAAGTCATTAAATGAATCATTAGAAAGAAAAGTTAACAGCAAAATACATTGTTTTTTTATTAAATGCCTTTTATTATATACCTATACCTGTTTATATAAATAACATCCCTGAGATGAGTTTGCTTTGTCTGTGCTACTCTTGTCAGGTTCTTCTGATTCCAAAGAGGCAGCAAACCAAAAATGCACACTGCCATAGAGAAACTAAAAAGCTATTATGTTATTTCTTCACAACTTCAAACCGTTTTTAATAACAAAAAGTCACACATCTAAACAAATAAGATCTAGGTTTTTGTCTAATATAGTTTAAGTGGGATCCTACCCTAAAAATACATTAGAATTAGACTGTAGTCTAATTAGAGAGTTAGACTATATCATTTTTCAAATACCATGGAGAGAAATCTGTGGGGAGGGAGGCACTCCAGGGAGTGAATGAAATAATCTCAGCACTAGGAAAGGGCACATTCAGGGAACAGTAAATAAAGCAAACAGCAACCACAAATCCTGCACTCATTCACAAGTTGTGCTAAAGTAGCACAAACTTCAGCAGGTTCTTCTACCATGAAGCTATCAAGGCTTGAGTTATAGTCATAGCAACAGGCTGTCTACTTCCAGAGGAACAGCCTAAGTACAGAGAAGCTTATCACTACAGGCTAGCCATTTGGTGATCAATTCTTTGGCCAGAACAACTTAGAAAAAAAGAAAAACACAAAATGCATTCCAGTCCTATATGACTCCCTTCTGCTTCCAAATTGACTGTGACAAACTGTCAGAAAAGGGGGCATGAAGAAAGACTCATAGTTGTCAGTCTGTCTATGAATATTAATTTAGCTTTTAGTATTCTAAACACAAGATCTTTGTCTTATGACTGAGTGTACATACTAATGGAAGAAATACATTTTATCAGTCTTGACCATATAAAAGAAAACTGCACCTAAATAAAAGGAGAGCTCACACAATTACTTCCAGAGGAACAAAATAAAAGCATTGGCAGGGCTGATTTTACTGTGCATCCAAAGGCAACAAGAAACATAATTTCATAGAATATTTTATTATTTTGTACTGTAGCACTCAAGATAAGCATTTGCAAAAAAGACTACCATGAAGATGACTACTATTTATGTATTAAAATCTATGACAGAAGATGAGGAGATAGAGAAATGCTAACCCCTTGCTAAGACTCTCCAAATTAAATCAACATATACTTTGACTTGGTGAAATTGGTATAAAGCATTCAATAAATGTTTGCTGGATTTATATTTCAGCTTAGTTGGTCAAAAGACATTTAGTAAGGACTTACTATGTTCCAATGCGCTAAATGTTGAGGATACAAAGAAAGGCAAAAACCATCCCTGCCCTCAAAGAACTTATAATCAAATAGAAGTAGAAAACACATATATAACTAGGTACATACATGATATTTACAGAGTAGATGAAAGGCAGTCTGAAAGGGAAATGCACTAGAGGCGTTGGGGAATAAAGAGAGAGGAAAAATCAAGAATGTCTTCTGCAGAAGATGAGATTTGAACTGAGTCTGAAAGGAAGCCAGGGAAAATAAGAGGCAGAACTGAAAGAGCAGAGCATTCCAGGAGTGAAGACAGTCAATGCAAAGGCACTAAAACCAGAGATGGAGTACAGTGTTTGAAGAACAGCAAGAAGGCCAATAGAGCTATAAACTAGATTGTGTAGAAGGGAATAAAGGGTGAGAACACTGGAAAGTGAGGAATGTAATAAGTTCTGAAGCATTTTAAATGCTAAAGTAGTTCATATGTGATCCTAGAGGTAACAGGGAGCCATTAGAGTTCCACCTAGGAAACAGTTAGGTGGAACAGTTGATAGCTCACTGGGCCTGGAGTCATAAGGCTTGAGTCCAAATATGAACTGACTTACTAGCTGTGTGACCCTAAGCAACTCATTTAAACTCTGTCTGCCTTGGCTTCCTCAACCACAAAATGGGAATAATAATAATAGCTACCTCCTCTAAGGTTGTTGCAAGGACAAAATTAGATAATATCTAAAAACTACTTAGTATAGTGCCTGGCACATAATAGGCACTTAATTAATGCTTGTTTCCTCTATTACTTCTTCACTCAGCAGGGAAGTAACATGGTCAGGCCTATGTTTAGCAAAATCATCTTGACAGCTAAACTGAAGGATGGAGAGGGGAGAAAGTTGAGGCAAGGCCAATCAAAAGGCTTTTGCAATGGTCTGGGTAAGATATGACAATGGCCTAAATTAGCGTGATGGCTGAGTGGGTGAACAGAAGAGGAGACATACAAGGGATGCTTGCTGTAAAGGTAAAAAACAAGGTTTGACCTCTGGATAGGTGGACTGAGTGATAGTGAGGAGTCAAGAATGATATCAAGGTTGCAAGCCTGGGTAACTTCAATAGTTACAGGCAAGTTTGGAAGAGGGAAGAGTTGGGGGGGAAGAGGGATGTAAGATAATGAATTCTGTTTTGTACATATTACATGTTAAGTTTGAGAAGCCTATGGGACAATCAGGTCAATATGTACAAAAGCCAGGCCTAATAGTTACCACAAATACTACCTCAGGAGAGTCCAGCTTAAGTCCAGCTTTATTGTATTTGGAAATTTTTAGGCTGCAGTTTAGATTTCCTACAATGAAAATGATTCTTATTTTTTCTATTATTTTCCTGACAAACCACAAAATGGATAAGATATATAACCTATGATATCAAGCTAAGCACTTTTTGGTTTTTAACATGCTTTTTTGTCCTTATGTGGAACATTCAAAAATATTTTAGTAATAAAATTTAAAATACAATCTACCTTTCCCTCATCCATTGGATTATCGCTTATATGGACAACAGGTCCTGGGTGAGATTTAGATGACCTAAAGAAGAAAAAATTTATAATAAGATTTTCCTCAATTAACAATTTCCAAAGACTTAAATATATTTATTTAAAGCTAAATAAGTAGGATGTGAACAAATATTTTTAAAAGATAGAAGTTATGTTGTCAACTGAATCTGCCCTACAAAAGGTATATAAATGAACTGAGATGAACCATCATGAAGATACAGCTAGTGCTGAATCATTATACTAAGATCCTTACTATTTAACAACTGTTAAAAGAAAAAAAAATCTGTTCAAGGCTGCAACTGCCATTTAAATCTACATATAGAAACTAAATGAAGATTGTTCTTGGCAGAGCTAAAAGCTACCACAAAGAAGTATGTCATATACTCCTCTCCTTTCTCCTGTAATCTTACCATTCCAGAGGACAGCCCAGCTAATTTCACAGCCCAGATCACAAATAGACCAAACTAAAGATAAAGTAATGGCCTATGTTAATGTAAGTAATCAACAAAAGCAATACCACCCACTCTTGCTCAGAGAAATAGGGCCCCTACAGATAAGAATATGGTTGAGTTGATGCCTATTCAGTGGGAGGAAGCATGTCCCTATTCTTAAATCCCTATAAAGTTGAGAGACCACTCCCACTTCGAGAGCCATCTGTGAGATTATATGGACACCTGCTACCAGTCCCGCCCACTTGAAGTTCTACTGAAAGTAGGGAAAGATAATGAAAAACTACACTATCCAAGAACTAATATATGATAATTGTACCCCTACCATAGAAAAGGAAAACAAAAGCTTGAAATTTCATGTCTATTACATTTATACCCGCACATGAGAAGCACATCACTAAATTACTCTTATGTCAAAGGTAGAAATAAAACAAAAAATATAGTCCACTAACGCTTAATAAATGAAATACCTATAAACAATTTTACATTTACAATGAATTTCAAGAAAAAAATCAGTATCTGTAACAGAATAGTGGAGGAAAAAAAGAAAAATTAAAAATTATTATAGTTCCATTATAATCAGTTCTGTCTAGAAGATCCATAGACTTTTATGCCATCATCTAAATTTTAAAAAACAATAATGATTTCTTTGGTGTAGAAGTGAGGAAACTTCTTCTACCAATGCAGATCAGCAAGCATTCTATAATTTCTACTCTCAGAGAGATGCATGGAGTTTTGAGAGGTTAAGTGACTTGTCTACAGTCACAAAGCAAGTGTTTCAGAGAAGTGTTTGAACTCCAAGGCAAGGTCTCCATCCACAACACCATGTTGCCTCTTCTCCTTTGTATATCTTACCAATGAAACATTAGCACCTTTGTTAAAAATAAGCAAATGAAATCTAAAATTTCACTCAAGGTAGTCCACACAATTCCTATATAAATTTTAACAAACATCTTTTAAAAAATATTATCAAGTACAGTTATCTCTTCCATATCAAGGGGCACCCCCAAGATCTGGAAAATTCGCATAAAATTTTTTTGGCCCTACCTTTGTACCAGAGAAAAAGTCTGAGTTTTTTCTTTTTCTTTTTCTTCATGGGGTGTTTATAGTACCTTACTGTAAAATTTGGGTATATTTATGGTATTAAAAGATAAACCGTTGATATTATATAATACTATACATATATTTTACATATTTCTGAGTTTCTAAACTTTTTCTGTCGTCTGTGGCTTCTGCAAAACTCCCCCAAAAGTTTCCATTTAATTTCTTATGCCAGCCTGCAATATATTGAAATGGTGATGGGGAACGTCACAATATGGAAGGGGTAACTGTAGTAGTTTAGATTAGTAAGAATTCAGACAACACTCAACCTACAAGGACTCCTCATTATCATATTAATATTTATGTTGTGCCTACTCTGTTCCAGGAACCATGCTAAGTATTTTACACACATTATCTCATTTCATCCTTACAACCACCCCAGGAGATTAATGATATTATTATCCCCATTTTACAGACGAGAAATCTGTCACAAATAGAGGTTAAATGTCTTGCCTAGGGTCCCACGGCTAGTAAGTGTTCTGAGGCAGTATTTAACTCAGGTCTTTTTAACTTCAGGCTCAGCATTCAATCCACTGGGCCACCATGATGTACATATTCTAAAAAATAATTATAATATATATATATAATATATGTATAATATAACATATTATAATATAAATATAAGCCAACAAAATTTTTTTTGAGAATTCTGATGGCTACTATTGGGAAGAATATAAATCTAACATTAGAAGCATCCAGCAGGAATTCAATTCCTTTTAACAAGCATTTATTAATTAACTAATATATGACACTTTCACATATAGTAATAAAATTTTAAAATATGGAATATTTGATCAAACTTACAGCTCAATGGCTTTATTCCACATAATGACGTAGCCTGAGAGTGTGAAGGATTCAACGTTGACAATATGTATGTTACCTCTTTCTGTGCCCACATAAAGCCATTTGCTCTGGAAAGGCAGATGGCAAAATGTTATCCTACAAGAGAAGATAAATGCAAAAAAAAAGAATTAGAAGAATCTTCAGGAAACCCTAAAGAATCACAGGGCAAGTTAACCATTACACAAAATATTCAGGCAAAGTCAAGAACTAGATGAAAATGTGCTATTTTTGTGGGGGCACAGACTTTAGAGTATGGGGTCTAACATGCTCTCTTCTAACACCCTCATTTTTTTTTCACATGAAGAAACTGATGTCAAGAGGGATCAAACGACTTGCTCAAGGTCACAGAGTAATAACCAGCAGAGGAAAAAAATCAAATCCATGTCTTCTGCCCCCCTCCAGCCAGTGTTTTTGTAAAACACTACGAGACTGCCTACTCAAACTATGAAAATGTAAATAAGCATTATTATTGTAATCTAACATATGATGATAAAATTTCAAGTGTCAAGATAATCTGAGGCAGTGACCTGTAACCTAAAATAATTAAATAAACAAGATAAAAATTAGTCAAAGAACAATAATGCTTCAATAGTTTAAAAACACTCTACATTGAAATACAAATGACTTCATATTTACTTTATATTCATTTTGCATTTTTCCAACCTAAAATATTGTGACCTGCTCATATAGCATGTAACATACAGATTTTCTTTTACTTTATATTATAAATATTCCCTTCAGGTCTTTGTAAGATCAAATTTATAAACCACTGAAAAACCTTGAAGAGTATAAATTTACACTTTAAAAGTTCTATTCAAATGATAACATTATCAGACAATTTATGCAAAATTTCCTTACTTTTAAATAATCTCTCTCACACAATCCAAACAAGAGTTTAAGACCCAAAACTCTGAGTTTTCTTGGATACAGAAATAAAGACATCAAGATACCAAAGTGGTAGAGTGTACAATGAAGTGAATTAAGTATCCATCCCAAAGAAAAATACATAGGACCTAAAATTCAAAGGACAAATTATCAGTGTTATCAAATCTTTCTTAAGAGGTAGGTAAGCTTGCCTATCTATTCTTCTCCTAATTCTTTAATCTGATTTTCAGGCCCCTAAAAAGTGAAATGGAAATTTAAGAGTAAGTTTGCTCTCTAAAGGTCCCTGATAGAACAGAAAGATTTGTAATCTACTATATTTGTCAGTCAAGCACACATTTGAATACCCATGAAGCTAAGTGGGGCTAGGTTACACAGGATGTTACAGGAAGAACACAGGATCATAAGATTACAGAGATTTAGAGCAGAAAAGGACTTTTGAGGTTATCTAGTCCACCCTCTCATTTCACAAATAAGAAAACTGAAGCCTAAAGAGGTAAAGTGATTTGCCCAAGATAGTCCTTGCCATTAACAAAATTAACAGATTAATATTACAGACAAGAAAAGTACGCCATCAATATTAGAAATAAATTAAATTCATCTTTAAAATGATTTTGCTCTCCAAAATGAATAATGAATATTGGAAGGGGATAAAGGGAGTTTTATTTATTCATAGTTAGCTTACTTTTAAACTCTTAAGAAAGGAAAACTACAAAAATTCTTAGTAGCATGACTTCAAAATTCTCAATCCTTCACAAAACCAAGTGTCTGATTTGAAAATAAAGAAATAAGGAAGCAAGCATCAGTCTTGTAGCACTTCCTTTTTAAATGAAAGTATATACTCTTACCACTACAAAAATATATAATGTTTCCATAAGTGATGACCATATTGCTTTGAGTCTCTTTTGCTATCATTCTTTGTAAAATATTTTAAATTTTTAGGCAACACTGCTTCAAATGACATTTATTACTAAATGTCATCTGTATTGGATTTCTAGGCAGCAAGGAAGATAGCATAATAGTAGTTTTCAGGTATCCAAAGGCCTGTTATGTATAAAAATGATTAGATTTGTTCTGCTTTGTCTTTTTTGTCCTTCTACTGCACCCCCCAACCCCCAGAAGAACTAGTAAAATCAGGCAAAAGCTGCAGAGAGATTGATTTAATAAGCAAAAAATTCCTAATAATTCAAGGCATGTCTAAAAGCAGAATGGGTTGACTCCAGAGATAATACACCTCTTTGGCTTCAATTATCAATTCTACACAGAAGAGGACTAGCCTCACATCACCAGTTTGCTTCTTAGCCATCTCCAAATGGACAGCCGATAGCATCTTAAAATAAACATGTCCAAAATGGAACTCATTTTTCCTGCAAAACCATCCCCTATTTCAACCTTTCCTATTACCACAGAGAGCACCAACAACTTCCCAGTTACCCAAGCTTTCAACCTGAACATATCCTCAAATACTCTCATCTCACATATCCAATCTATTGCCAAGTCTTGTTGCTCCTACCATTACAACATCTTTTGTATATATCCCTTTCTGATGTCTGAGTATTATTAAGAGTTTACCATCAGGCTACAGAGATGGATTACTAGAAGCTATTGAATGTGTCTGAATTTGTAAACAAAAGTGGTTAAACCTTCTGAAGTGGTATAACCCTTATCTTAAAAAAAAATACTTCAGGGGAAAACTTGCAGTAAAATCTTCTTAAGTGATTTTTAATGCCTACTACTCACAGTACTAAACAACTTAAGGTTAATTTTTAAAACAGACTCCATTAAATAATAGCATTCATTTTACCTGATTCCAAAAATTAATAAGATCTAGAACACAGAATCCCTTTTCATTTAGGACTCACTGTATAAAGCATTAATTAAAAAAAATTATAGTTGCCTAACCCCTCCCTTGCAACCTGTATCCCCACCATGTCAGACTTTTTTAAAGGACAAATGAGAGAGATGAGGATACACTGTTATATACGGAAGCTAAAGTCAATGTAGAAATAATGGAGAATTCATACTTGCAGAAAGAAATAAAGAATAAAAAAAACATATATATATAAGTTTAAGATCATTTCTTCCTTACATATTATGCCCTCATCAATTCTATTAAGGATTGAGGGAGGTAAGTGCAATGATCACATTTTCAAAAACCAAAAATCAGGACATATTCATTTCTTGCAGTCAAAGATTCTTTCATTTTATCTTTATATTATATGCCTACCACCTAGCATGGTATTTGCCATGCATTAGATAATTAATAAGTATTTATTAAATAATGAATAAAAGGAAAAGAAGTGGGGGTAAGAGGTGACTGCCTATTTATGTCCACCATACTAGACAACAGAGGACAGCTATAACATAAGGAAAAAATAACAGTTGAGACACTTAGAAAATCATAGATGACAAAAATACAAAACAACTCTTAGTCATCAAATACCCATAGTATTTTACCCCAAAGATGTCAAAGAAAGGTTTTCTAACATTAAAATATTCATAGCGATACTTTTTTTGTGGTAGCAAAGAACTAGAAACAAAGAGATGCCTGTAGATTGAGGAATGACTAAGCAAATTGTAGTACATTAATAGGTTATTACCACACTGTAAGAAAGGAATATGAAGAATTCCAAGAAGACTAGGAAGACATATGAACTGATACAGAATAAACAAAACCAGAATATCAATATGTATGATTTACAACAATGAAAATACAAAGAAAAGAAAAAAAACAAAAAATTGCTGTGTCACTTTAAACTTGGCCCCATTTGTTAAAGTTCAGTACTTTTCAATCGTGTCTGATTTTCACGACTCATTTGGGGTTTTCCTGGTAAAGATACTAGAGTGGTCTGCCATTTCCTTCTCCAGCTCATTTTACAGATGAGGAAACTGAGGCAAACAGGGTTAACTGACTTACCCAGGGTCACATAGCTACTAAGTATCTATGGCCACATTTGAACATAGGGCGATGAGTTACCCTGACTCCAGGTCCAGCACTCTTATCCACTGTGCCACCTAGCTACCCTTGGCCCCAGAGAAAAGATTAAAACAAAAACAAAAACAAACCAACAAAAAAAAGATGTACTTCTCCCTTCTTTACAAAAGACCATAGCTATGGAACTCTGTGTGTGTGTGTGTGTGTGTGTGTGTGTGTGTGTGTGTACAGTCAAACTCATTCTCTAGCCCAAATTTCCACACTTTATTTCCCAGCCACCTTCACACCATGCTGCAGTGCCACAGTATTCACCTCTGAACCAGCATTCCATCTACTGTCCTGAGTCCCTGGGCTTTTGACTGGTAAACCTTCACCATTTTTAGTTCAATACAGACTTCCATGAATTAATAAGATCATAAACAGAGAGAAGAGTGACTGAGGGACTATAAACCACCTAGCTGTATATGAAAAACAAATACAGAGAAACTGGCAGAATGTAAAGAAAGACATACTGACCATCAAGATGACATAGAAAAAGTATCCTCTGATCCGCTGAGCACACAGAGAATCAAAAGAAAAAACAAATAGAGGAGTTGCCTTTCTGAACCACAAAAAAGATTCCCTATCCCCAACAATAATCAAATCAACACTGTCATTCAAAGGAAATGTCCTTTCTGGGAATTACACTGTGACTCCACATACCTTCCCTTTAATGTCCCTGACCTGAAACACCATTGGTCTAGCCACAACTCCCCTTTAGGTGGTGTCTCCTCCAATTAAAATGTAAACTTCTTGAAAGGCTGGAATGTCTTACTTTTTCTCTTTGCATTCCTATCTCTTAGAGCACATTCCTTTTTTTTTCTTTATCTTTTTCCCCCTTTGGACCTGTGATTTCATTGGTGTAAGCAAGTCCTGATAAAGAAAACTCCATTTACCAATGCAACCTGATACTTGCTCTGCAAGTTATTCTTTTTTTAATGTCTTTTTTTATTTATTTTGCTAATATTACTATTTCCCAATTACATTTTTAATTTTAACATTCATTTAAAAACATTTTTAGTTCCAAATTCTCTCCCTTAGTCCAACCCCTTTCTCACCCCTTGAGAAGGCAAACAATATCATATAGACTACACATATGAATTCTTCTGCAAGTTAGTCTTACAGAGTTACCTAGGGTACTGCAAAATTAAATAATTTGTCCAGTGTTACACAGCTGACTTATGTCTGAGTTGAGACTAGAACTCAAGGTTTCCAGACTCCAAGGCATGGCTTTCTATCC